AAGTGACCAATAGGAGGTGGGCAGATCAAACTCCTCAGAGTGTTAGCAACCAGGTGGCCAATGAGGGGATTAACGTATTTATAGGAAATATTGTGTTACAAGTAGAGGGAAGCCAGCACAATTATTTGACTTGAAATGCCTGAGATGTAGCGGATGGACAAAAGCTTTTTATTTAGATAGATTTAGATCCTATCTCTCCCCTCCACACACACACCCAGGGACAAGTGAACAAAACTCCTCAAAAACAGTGTTAGAAAGGAAAGACCTCAGGCATTTTATAAATCTGGTGTCTGAAAATGGTAACATTAGACATTCTGCCACCCACATACAAACATATGCAAAATGATGAATGAGCAGTTAGGAAAAAAAGCTTTGAAAACAGATCACTTTTACATAATTGCTAACCATAAGTACTCTTACTCTTCTCGTCATGACCATATAAGACAATTGTAACAAAAGGTCCTTTTTAAAATAGAATTTACTATCATAACAATTCTGACTTAACACTTAAGATAAAGTAAATGTTAACTATATCAACTAACAAATTGTAACTTTTATTTTCTTCAACACTTTCCACTTAAAAAACGTACGCATTTCACTTAAGAGAAATTATGCACCTGCAAAATAAATTCAAACTTTCTCATTAATATAATGATGATGGAACAACAGCTATTATTTGTAACCCCTTTATTTTACAATGCCATTCATCAACTGACTTAACTGGATTTAAGTAATTGAGTGTAAGCTGGTTTACATAAAATAATGGAATTTAAATGGAAAATTCATTTAGTCAATTTTCATGATTATAAAAATATTTTCACTATTTTATTGTAAACTCACTTCTTTAAGTAAGTAAATGCTTTAGAAAATTGATTTTATCCATTCTATCTTCAGCTAAAAATAATCTTAATTGTTCTGATGTGAAATTGAGTATGAAAAATCATGGCAGAGCCAGTAAACATATGCCAGAAAACAAGAGGAGATTTTGAAACTCTACTGTTAATAAAATGACTAAGAACTTCCAGAATTAGGATTCAGTAGAAATCAGTTTATATTAAGTAAGGACCATGTAATGATATAAACTTTAGTATTGATGAATATATTTTAGTAGGTATATGGAGATTTCTGAAGTTTCAATATTTTGCCAAACATTATTCAGATAACTTTATGACACCTTCTCGGACACAAGACTTCTCTGGCTGTATGAAAATGTGAAGGATCTTGCATAATAAAAGGATATTGCATAACTGAGTAACATGCAAAAAACATTAGCCAAAGTGATTAGTTAGGTGCATAGGCTGAAGAAAAGATGAGGAAAAGATACCAATGCTTCCATTTTAGTTTGGTAAAAAGGCAAGTAAGAGGAGATTATCATGCAGGTGGAGGAAATGGGCAGAGAAATTTGCTGGTTTGACTAAGTACTACCGTCCAGCACCATCCAATTAAGCTTGAATGGTGGGGATTCAAAACAGACGAATACTACAAAATGTAAAGTTGAACAGTAGAATTTCTTACCACAGAATATAATTATGGCCACCAACTTGTTATTTTAAAAGTATTGAGATAATTCTTTGGTTATAAATTTCTTCCTCTAGCAGAAGTAAATGCCAATTCTTGAAGAACATGAGTAGGCAGAATGATTTACTCATTTATCCTGTTTGTGAGCATCCTGTCTGTGGCTACTGTGGGGGAAAAACTGCTGAAGTAAACGCGTCTTTAGCTTAGTCTTTCACAGTTCTTCTGCTGTCATAACATAAACATAATTAATGGTATTTAATTTTTAACAGTAGATCAAATATAAATGCAGAGATAGATAGGCAACATTTTGTAATTGAGAGAACAGTTGGAATTTTGACAATATGTGGCGAGTGAATTCTTAAAAAGAGAATAACTAAAGCCTTGCTCTTCACAAGATGGCCGCCATAGTGGCATGGCAAATAATAAAACCCATTTATCACCCCTAGTGGTCCTCTGTGGGTCCCAAAAGCACTGCTGCAAAGATAAAAACATTTTCCTCTCTTTTTCTTCCAAGCCATTAATAATATTTTTTTATTTCTTTGTTTATTTATTTAAATCCCACCTTTATTATTTTTACAAATAATCCAAGGCAATGAACATATCCAATACACTTTCTACACCTTCCTCCTCCTATTTTTCCTACAATAACCCTGTGAAGTGGGTTGGCCTGACAGAGAGTGACTGGTCCAAGGTCACTCAGCTGGCTTTTATGGCTAAGGTAGGACTTGAATTCATGGTCTCCTGCTCCTGGTGCCCTAACCACTAACTTTCTGTGTTTGAAGAATACAGAATCAGGACCTCGTCTTTGTGGCGTTGAGTTTAATCTCCTTCCAATTTGATTAGGAATCTCTGATAGACATTTTTAGAGTATGATTTTCAGGCAGCATTGTATCTATTTAATTGCCATGTCATCCTGTGCCCATTTCATCAGGTTGCTCATCAACATGGTATAGAGAACTTTGTTAAATGTATTGTTGAAGTCTTAATATAGTCTAAAAGGGAAGTTTAAAAAATGAGTTAGTTAGTCTGGCAAATCGTTTTTTGACAAATCAATCCTGACTTTGTGATAATTAGTACATTTTTTTCAAATGTACTTTTATAATTTGCATTTTTTCCAGTATTATTGCCAAACTGCCTAGACTGTAATTTTCCCTTTTAAAGAAGAAATGTGTTTTTCTCTATGTTTATTTGTTCAACGTATAAGTCATCTCAAATAACTCTAAAAAGTGTAGAATGTGTTAAAACAATAATTCACATGTATATATTATGTATGTATGCATGCATGTATGTACAGTCATATGAAAGAGAAAATACACCCTCTTTGTGTTGTATGGTTTTATGTGTAGGACATAATACTAATTATTGGTCCTTAGCAGTTCTTAGAAGTAGATAAATACAACCTCGGATGAACAAGAACATGGTGTATTATACCATGTCATCATTTATTTTACAAAAATAATGCCAAAATGAAGAATCTCCCCCTCCCTCTCCCTCCCTTTGCGTAGCCACAGTGCTGTCTCTTTCTATTGTCAATTTTTTCCACACTGGAATTGTTTGGAATTTTATTTCTGGTACCTCCTTTAGGAACTCATATCCATCCTGAACTTTTTTTCTCATTAGATTTTGGTGCAATGGCAGCCTATTTATCATAGGTTTAGGTTTATTATAATCCCCTTCTTTGAAGTTTTACTACACTTAATATTTCTTAAAATTTGGTACTTCAACATTTATGTCATTACTTCTCCACTAATGTTCCTAATTTTTCCACTTCTTCAATCAAGTGTTTTCCCACTATTTATTTGCTTTAATTTAAAGAATCTTTAAAAACAAGTCAAATGAGCATACAATGCACAGGAAAAAAACAAGTTATGAACATGCATTTTCAGTATAAAGTACAAACCCCCCCCCCCCCCCCGCAAAGTTACATAAGATGTTTGTTTCAGTTTTATACCAATTGTTTCAGGTCAGATTCAAAGTTGATCTTGATTTACTTTTGCAAATTTATATTACCACAGTGATTTATTTTCCAAACAAATAGAATGTTTGCCCTCAGTAGCTTTCCCAGAAATAGATGCAGTAGTTTTTTTTTTATTTGAAAGACCATTGAAAGTAAGCTATAATTTAATTACGTTTTAAGAACTTGTAAAATGGCTTTCTTCATAATCTATTTTTAATTACTATTTGGAATCAATATATTTGACAATTTGTTGACATGAATAACAGTTGGCATGACAATTTTTATATATTATACTTTCTATACGTATAAGATATGTATACAAAGAACAATCAAATGTTCCCTTTTGGAGAGTAAGAAATAGTAAGCCGAAGAAATGAAGGCATGAATAATAAAAAGAAATTGAAATCCAAAAATACCATATACTTCTACATACCTTTCTGCCCTTGACAACAGACTTCCTTGAATGTTGATACACTGCTTCATATATTGGTGTTATCCTTTCAATGTCTTAATTATCTTTGTTTTAGGGTCTCAATTCCATCCAAACACAGCTGTCTCAGGTTTCCTGTCAGCCTATGCATCCTTCTTTTATATTTGCAAATACGGACATACAGGCTTGTTCACACCCACAACCAACACACCTATAATGTCACAAGGACATCTTAAAGCACAATACAAAGTAAAGACAGGGGCACACATTTCTATGATCTGCCTACATTTTGTAGAAACAAAAAAAATGCTGGGATGTTATAGTTATATTGGGCTGGGTAATGCTATTTGAGAGGCAATTACACATTTGTGCACCTTTCATGTTATTATTTTCATCTTTTGGGGGTTTTAAGTTTATTGGGTACTGCTTTGAAAAGGTTTGGTCTGGAGACCAAGAATTTATTATTTGCCATTATAATTAAATCATGGCAGTCAGGAGATACTTCATGTCATGTATACATTGATATTTAATAAATAATGAAAAAAGATAATAGTGTCAAAATCCAATTTGCACTGCAGAATTAAAATAAAACCTTACTAGTTCAATATTATGCAAACAAATCCCCAGTACCTAGTCCAGTGAAACCTAATCCTAAATATTATTATATATTCAAAAGTTGTAAAATATTTTTTAAAAATTGAGAAACTTTAATTAAGTATATTATATGATAAATGCATGAGCAATTTTAATGATTCAGGTTGTTTATGAAAAACATATATTAAAAATATTATTACTTCTTTAAATCTTAATTATTTTAAATAATAATAAATTAAAAAGCAGCTTGTAAATCTATTTAGTTTTACAGAGAAGGGAAAGGTACAGCAAAGTATATTTTAATCATCAACCCTTCTGCAATATGATAATTTTCAGATATTTTGGATTTCTACACATCCTTCATTTGAACCAAAAGCACAAGAGGCAATTTCCCTTCAGTTTAGTTAGTGGCCATGTTGGGTGAGGTTGATTGCATTTAAGAGTGCTAAGTATCAGTAAGGCATGTTTTCTTATTCAAATCTAATCATTGTACATTTTCAGGTCATTACATTTCTGTGGATACCTCACAAGGAACAAGTGGTGACACAGCTGTATTGCTCAGCCCTGAACTATACACAGGAGAGTGGAGTTGTGTTCGGCTTATATATCAGATTGCATCAGCTTCAGAATTACCACTAGATTCTATTATCTTAAATCTGTATATAAGAGTGGAAGGTGAAAGCCTTGATCATTTGCTTTGGACAACCACAGAACATTCAGAGAGCTGGCTCATAGCCAGTGTAGATGTAAAAAATAGGACAGACAAATTCAAGGTAAGCATCTGAAACAAGTACTTGCATTCGTTTACACACATACACACACATACACACAACTGTAGATAAATGGAAATAACTAGAACTTTTCATATATGTTTATCTCTTTTCTTATGAAACATAAATATTTGGAACAATTTTTATTATTTGTGAAGGGATACTGAATATCCAAACATCCACTTTGATAACATATCAGATGTTCTAATTAATATGTAAATCAGAGGCAAACCTGCTGTCTTTATGGATTGATTGTACCACAAAACATGTCAGAAAAGATAATTGCTCTATATTTTAGACTTTTCTTAGCAAAACCAGATAATTGTAGTAATCTTTAAAGAAAAAAATAATGGAAAATTGTTTATTCTCTAGAGTACAATGTTCATTTTCACTTTGATCTTTCTTCATATAGTTTTGTGAACAGACATGCATACAAATCTATCACCCTTTTGAAAACAGTAATGTTATTAAATTTAAAAACAGCAATGTTATTAAAAGTGGGGGGGGCAGATAATGAAAAGATTAAGATAAGGGAAAAGCAAATATAACAAGCATGTTTGATTTGCACCAAATCCAGACACTATACATTATATTTAAAACCTTGCTGTCTTTACAAATCATCTTTGCTTCCCCTGCATCCTTATAATACTTTATACATCTAAAAATATTTAAATTTTTGTTCATACATCTAAAAATATTTATAAACTTTTCATCTTTATTTGAATATTTCATTAATTTCACCAGTCATTACTTTCTTAGTTTTCATAGGGAGAGCCAGTTTGGTGTGATTAAGGCATCAGACTAGAAACCAGGAGACTGTGTTTTAGTCCCACCTTAGACATGAAAGCTGACTCATGACTTTGGGCCAATCATTTTCTGACGCCCATGGCATCAGGCTCCAGCAAGAAACTGGTCATTTCCTACTGATAACCAATGGATCAATGGTCAGTTGATTGGAGGTGGGGAGAGGGGGAGCCGACCCTGCATGTGCAGGAAATGAAAAAGAATCTATATTTGACCAAATCTTGTTGTTCTGACCAAGGCTTCCCGAGACCGTAATTAAGCACACGCTTAGATAAAACAACTCTTGTTTTATTTCAATGATGGGAATTATTTTCATTCCCAGCCAGTAATAAATCCCAAACAGTCCTTCAAGATAAGCACCCACCTTTTTTACTTTTGAATTGCTGCCAACAACTAGAGTCTCAAATGCATTATAAAAAACCAACCGAAGTACAAAGTCCACACAGAGCTTCAAGGATAAATCCGAACAGAATGAATGACTTTGCTTCCTACAAAGGTTTCATCACCTTTGCCTGTCCTTTATACCTTATGGGAGGGGCAATCACCTCCAAGTCTTACTGCCCCTTTTGTCTCAGCTGCTCTTGCCTTCTAGCAGCTCTGCACACACGTGCACTGGGAACAGGCTCCCCTTGTTCCTCGGCCTCGCTTCTGTGAGACTCAGGAGGCTCCGGAGTCAGCATCCCACTCCCAGATGGTCCTGGCTCCATCTCTGCATTGGCTGCAGGACCCTCATCCGAGTCCTCTCCAGACTCCCTGACTGCTCCCCTTTCTTCCCCACCGTACAATTCCACTGCCATCTGCACAGGCTGCCAGCGAACCACAACACTTGTCAACAAGCTTCTTTTGTATTGGGTGTTCAGTTTTATACTCAGTCCACATTCATTCAGCAACCATATATTCATGATTCTATCTATTTTCTATTATTGCATGTATTTCATAACCCATTCCAATGCATCATGTATTGTTCCTGACATACTCTTACTTCCATATAACGAAGTAGGCATAACCACTTTTTTTCACTCAATCTGAACATATGTTTAGAGATATTTTCTACGAACTTAGATATTAAGCACTGCTCTGAAAGACTGATGCTCAAACTGATATTCTAGAGGCTATTGTAAGAAAGGTAAGAGAAAGGTAATCCAAATCCAGTGGTTTGTGGCACAATTACACTGATCTCCAAATTTTGGGAAATTATTGACCTTAGAGATAAAATGTGTTAATTTGACATATTTTGATTAGATTAATTAGAAAGGTGATAAAGGTGCTGGTTGGCTAAAGTTTTCAAGATATTTCAGAATAAAGATTTACACACAGGTGAGTATATTTGCCTACAAGGGAGGGAAGTGTCTTACGATCATAATGCCTTTCTTGACAAAGTACAGTAGAACAATGAAAAGGGTACCACATGGAAGTGTATAAATTTATCTTCACTTTGAGAACAGCAAGGCAGACGATTATGAAAAACAAGTGGAAAATTTGCTTAGGTCCTATAAAGCACTTGATGCAAACATGTCACTGAAAATTCACTTCTTACACTTGCATTTATACTATTTCCCTTTGAACTGTGGGGCAGTGAGTGATGAACATGGGGAGAGATTCTACCAGGATATTGCAGGCATGTAGAAAAGATACCAAAGGAAATGGTGTCCATCCTTGCTTGCCGATTACTGCTGGAATCTCCCCAGGGATGATTCTACTGCAATTCACCAAAAAGATGGAACCTTGTCATTTAATCTGATATTGGAGCTTGTCAGTTTTTCATACAAAAAATATGAAAATGTTACATGAAAAAACCAATAAATGAATGGAAAGTTATTGGTATCAATAAAAACATATATTTATAATGATTTGTGTGGCACCATTCCCATTCCCATCACATTTTACAGAAAAGTTATGGAATATAATTGTACATCCCCCTCATAATTTTGAATTATTTTGATGCAGTTTTGACCTGAAGCTGTATCTTGGAACCTGGAGCCAATTAATACTCAGGACTTAATTTTCCTTTATTAGTGACCCCAATTCTGATAAAATCAAGCAACTTTCATTTCCGAGGCTTCTCCTTGTAGACCAGTGTTATTTAAGCTATTTATTTTCTAAAACCAGTTTATTGAAACACAGTGCTTACTCTCACTCTATTTTTATGCTTGTTTTACAGATTGTACTGGAAGGTGTACTGGGAACAGAAACTTTTGCCAGCATAGCAATTTTTGAAATCAAAATTTCAACTGGCTACTGTATAGGTAAGTAGCTATTTTAATAATTGTCTATAAGTATATGAGAATGTAATATTTAATTGGGAATCTATTATCATAAGAGTATTCGTTAAGAGAAATTTAATATTATATTGAAATATTATATTTTATTAATTCTAACCTGACAAGTGGTGTATTTTTGAATAATTATAATAGACTAATTATAATATGCTGCCCAGGTTTCCAAATCTTTAGAAATCTTTATTGCTCAGTCAGAAAAGGCAGCTATGAAAAAGAATATGTTGCCTCACCACTGGTGTGCAGCTATTCATAGATTAAAATGAATTAACACTGAAATGTGCTTTTTAGGTTCTGTATAACATATTTTGTATAGTTGTTAATATCTTCTGTGTCATTGAATGTAAGGCTATGAGGACTAGCCAAGGAAAACCCAGAGTTCTGTAGGACATTATTGGTCGTCAGAAAGATTCAAAGACAGGCTACATGCACTCAGGTGTTGGAGAATATTCTTGGGATATCATTCTGCAGCCACTTCTGCTTGACTTAGAGATTCAGAGTGATGATATTCCAGTCAAGGACATTCCACAAGTATTGAATTTTAATTCTAATTTCTGGAAGCCATAGACTTTATGGAGGGGTGTGGTTTCACATGCTGCCTGGATCCCGCATGTGCACAGATGGGGCTTCACCAGGGGTGAGGTTCTATTCGCTAGAACCGGTTGTTAACATTCTAAGCAGTTCGGAGAACCGGTTGTTAGAAGAAATTACTGGCCTAATCCCATAAGGAAGGCAGGAAGGAAACATTCTGGTGTTGCTTATAGAAACTGCCTCTCCATTAACCTTTATTACATTCTTGGCAGGACTAGACTTCTCTGGAGTTTTTTTCTCTCCTTTGCTGGTAATTTGCTTGTGTGGAGTGACCATTCAAAGTTACAGTGGCACTGAAAAAAGTGATTTATGACCATTTTTCACATTTACAACTGTTGCAGCATCCCTACAGTCATGAGAGGCTAGGCGAGGAGATGCGTGCCTCGATGTGAGTGATATTGAGTTGGCCATGCCCAGCCAATAACATGACCACCAAGCCACACCCACCAACTAAGCTACGCCCACAGAACCAGTTGTTAAAAAATTTGAATCCCATCCCTGGGCTTCACTCACTTCTGTGCCCAGTTCCTGGTGGGCCACTGACTGGTGCTTGTCTCTGGCCTGGGGATTAGAGACTCTTGATTTAAGATATAAAAGTTCACCAATTCCTGCTTTACACTTCCCTTTCTTGTTCTGTTGAATGGCTCGCTGCATGATGATGGTAACACATAGGATTAAAGCTTATATTATTCTGAACATTGACAGTACATTTTAAACAGAAATTTGAACTGACTGTAGCTGACTAAATAGATAGTCATGGGTACCAAACCACAGATATTTATGTGCTTTGATATTTTTTTCAACTGCAGAATGTGATTTTGAAGAAAATCATCTTTGTGGTTTTATGAACCGCTGGAATCCGAATGTTAATTGGTTTGTTGGTGGTGGAAACATAGGAAATTCACAGTCTATCCTTCCAAAAGATCATACCTTTAGGAATGAATTTGGTAAGCAAGAAAGACTTATTTATTTTGAAAGACAGCAAGATCGAAGGTATTTGTAACTTTTAATTACAAATAATTCCAAATTTTCTCATTTGTGTTCTCAATTCTGTGTTCCAAGTTCTCTCATTAGAATACAATAGCACCATGAATGAATCTTTTATAATCATGTAGTTTTAAATATGCATGTTTTAAAAATAGATTGGAGGAAGAATTGTAAATAGAATTTGGTAATGGCAATTTTGACATAAATGGGGCATTCTTTGTGTGTGTTGGGGGAGGCAGGGAGTCAGAAAACACAAAGGTTCAGCTTTTCATAATTGTTCTCCCATGTAAAGTTTAACCATGTTTTGGTCAAAACAAATTATGACCTACATTTTTGCACTAAGTGCTTTCAGGCTTGCTTTTATATTTCATTTATGGTATTCAGTTTACATTTGTATGGTGTGAATTATTTATTAAATTAAATCCAGGCATTGTTCCAAAAATAATTTCTGTATAGTTTTCTCAGCTATGCTCACATAGAAAACCTAGAGAAAGAAATTAATAAAACTTCATACCAGCTCTTGAATATCCAGGTTATTAAAAAAGTAAATAATTTACCTTGTTATCTTAAAGTAACTACATTCTCTAAGCATATTACTCAGAGTATTATATAATTTATTTAAACCTATGTTTATTGAATTTTTTTTAATTGTTCAAATGTGAAGCTCATCTATCCTGGCATAAACACATTTGAATTATCTTTTTGAATCCTGTGGAAATCAGTTAGATTTTTTTCTTTTTGTATCACATAATTTTCTTTATCCAATCTAAATATCAGAGATGTAAGTTTTTCAAAAGCTAAGTTTGATTCAATTTTTTCGAGTGACCCAATTAAACCATTTTTTTAAAAAAAACTTTAAAATAGAATTGTCATCTGCTGGGAAAGGTTCCTTGTTTGGTGAGATGTGAGTTAAGCAAATAGGTCTGAGGTCTTTGCTCAAACTTTCTTTGAATAATTTTCCAATGCTGGAAGAGAAAAAATATATTCATGAATTCATGCATCTCCCAGAACTATGGTCAGATGCTATGTTGAAGCATTAGAATATCTTCTGGAGAAGATTGAGCTATCAGGATTCCAGTGATCGCCCTAATTAAATCATGAGCCTTAAGTCAAACTTCAAAAAACTTCAACAGATTCATTAGGAGTGACATACTGGCATGAACTGTATGAAGCCAATTTTGTCAGGATTCCGGCAGTTACCCCCATTTAAATCATGAGTCTCGAGCCAAACTTCCAAAACTTAAAGAGGATTTATTGGGAGTTAACATGCCATCACTGCTTGGGTGTAGCCGACTCTGAAACACATTATTCATTGTCACCCTTGACCCTGGTTTTTCCCTCTACCCCCAGGTGTATCATAATTCATATTCTCCAATGGAACACATCCATAGCCAAGAGTCATCAATCATGCTCTCCAGTTAGAATTTTGCGTGGCAGAAACTTAGTCAACTAGTTACTATCTTTGAAAACATTTGTGGAATGCAGTTTTGGTTTTGCAAGCTGCTGCACTGCTCCCCCCTCCCTTTCTGTTGGCAACTCTAAAAAGACTATAGAAATATTTTATGAGTTGACATGTAATTACAGTCAAGTGTGACCCTGCTTCCCCCTTCTCTCCTGGGTGTGCCATAAATCAGTTTCTCCAATTAAACACGTACATGGGCTAAGTGTCATCCATCACATTCTCCAAATAAAGTTTTTTGAGGGCAAAAGCTCCACTAGCTTAGCTACAATCTTTTTAAAAATAAGGTTGGAATGTGCTTCTAAGTTCATTTGCTGTATGCTTTTCCAGTCTTCACCCCCCTCTTTCTGGAGGGGCTACCAAAGAAAAATAATTAAAAAGTATATTCCTTTCCTCCCTTCCCCCTTTTTAATGGGAGCTTTCAGGGGATCCCTTTCCATGAAGGACACATCCATATCTGTTTATAAGATAATAAAACATATAATAAAAGGAAGAAACAATAGAAATAATTCTTTTCAGAGAATTAAAATACATCTAATTCATTTGGTTTCTTCTTAGAAGTACTAAAACAATGTATGTTTTCATCATAAGAGTTTTTCGGCATTATACGAAGATCACAATTATGATTGAAATAAACTGATAAAACCCACATAAAAGTAATCTGCAAAACAACTTCTTCAAATCTTGTAATATTCAAGGACAGTCGACTACAACTAAATTGGAAAACATAGATCTCCATGGAGATTTTCTAATGAAAGAATGTCCCAGAGTAGGAACAAATGCTTAGGAAAGGAATGAAAGAAAACTTTTGAATAACAAAGAAATTATATTTCTGGTAAAAATCCAATTTAGGGTTTGGATTTATTTATTTTTTTGCAAATTGGATGAGTTGAGTTCTTAAACTTTTAAATTAGAGACCTTTGAGAAGATGTTAAACCACAATGTGTTATATTTGTCCACTGGAAAAGCTGAGTGCAACAGATGCATTTAGCTTTAAAAATAGAGCAGCTGTGGAAGGCAAAAATTAATTTTGCTCATTCAGCAGACATTGCTCATTCCATGTAGTCTTTTGATAAAAAAGATAGTTCATCTCTGATTACATTGTTTTTTATTTCTGGAAAATTGGAAAGGCCAGGACCCACTGTGTACCATAGAATTTGGGAACATTTTTAAAACAAGCAAAATGTTTTTACCATTTTAGTATAAGTATATTAATAAGAATTCATAAGAGCCAAGCTAGTGAAGGAGAAAGGGTCAGTAAAAAACCTGTAGAAATGCATTTATATATTTCTGCATTACTGAAATTACTTTATTAAGAATAGGTCACTAAATGATATCAGTATAGATGAGGGAATCATTCTGAATTGTCTTCTGATGGTCTAATATAGAAAAGTCAAATATGAAGTATTCACAACTTCTGAAATATTTTCAAAGGATCAAATAGACAAACATAATTGGCAGATAAATTGTAGCTTCTATAGTTAAGATCTCATTAAAGCAAAGTGGATTGTTTTGGCAATTAATAGTCCCCCCCCCCCCAATCTGAATAGATTCCATTTAGTAATATATTATACTGTGTTGCTGGGTATCTAAATCTATAAGCTTTGGAACCTTAATATTAAAACATTTCTTATGAGAATTGTACCTCAAAAGTCTTAGATAGCTTTTCACACTAATACAGTGGAGTTTTATCTCTGAAACAAAGAGAAAAGTATATTTTATTTCCATAACTGAAGCCTGGTTCCGTTTCTATAAACAAATGTAATTTTTAAAATGAATTAATTTAGCAGAATCTACAAAAATTTGCTGCTTCCTTTAAAACCACAAAAGCAATGTGACCTTTCTCCTTTGGGTGTTGTGATTCTTCATGTCACAATGTACCTGGCACCAGTTCATGCTCTCTAGCACCTCCCTAAGATGCTGGTGCATGAAGATAATTTTCTGCGATATACACTACAGCAAATTGAAAGTCCTCAATTTGCAACCATTAATTTATTGACTGTTTAAAGTTATAATGGCACTGAAAAAGTGACAATTTTTCACACTCATGACTGTTGCAGCTACATGATCAGAATTCAGACACTTGGCAATTGACTCTTCATTTATGATAGTTGCAGTGTCCCGGGGTCATGTGATCACCTATTGGGATATTTTGACAAGCAAAGTCAATGGGGAAGCCAAATTTATTTACCAACCTTGTTACTAACCTAAAAACTGCAGTGATTCATTTAACTGTGGCAAAAAAGGTCATAAAATGAGGAAAACTCAAAACTTTTGGACTCAATTGTGGTCATAAGTCAAGGACTACCTGTACTCGTTAACAAATAATAATGACAGGCATGGACTTTTCAGTTACATCAACAAATGAAAGGGGTACCAATTGATATTGTGATGGATTCCTTAAAACTAGAAATATGTGAAAGTAAGGAGATTTAAAAGAAGCTTGTTTTGTGAAACTAGAACAGATAAACTATTACACTGCAGGTAAATTATTAGGTCCCACCAGTTCTTAAAAAGATAGTAATGTGCCCTCTCCTTAAAGGACCATTGCCTGACCTAGATAGCCTGGACAGTTTCCATCCAGTTTCCAACTTCCCATTTCTACGGAAGGTGATGGAGAGAGGGGTTGCATGGCAGCTGAAGAGAACCCTGGATAAAGCAGATTATTCTAGACCCCTTTCAGTCAGGGTTCAGGCCATAGTTTGGGATTGAGATGGCATTGATAGCACGCATGGTTGACCCTGGCGGAAGCGGGATGGAGGTAGTGCATCCATCCTGTCTCTTCTTAACCTCAGCAATATTCAATACCTGGACCAGCTCTGGGAACTGGTGGTAGGCATCACTATACTGCGTTGGTTCTCCTTATAGGGCCAGTTCCAGTCAGTGTTGATAGAAGGGAGAGAGATCTAGCCGATGGCCCTTACTTTGTGGGTTACTTTTGGGTTCCCTCTCCTTCTATTTAACATTTACACAAGGCTGCTGGGTGAGATGATCTGTTGGTTTGAGTTGAGATATCAGTATGTGGATGATACCCAGCACTATACTCTACCCCAATCCTCTTGAGTGATGCCCTGGATGTCCTATTCCAGGACTGTTGGGGACTAGATGAGGCAAAGCAGACTCCGACTCAACCCTTGCAAGACAGAGTGATCGTGAATATTTGAATCCCCTAGAGACAAGGATCTTCCATCTTTGGTTCTTAATGGGGGAGTCCTGCCTCAAACAGACCCAATGTGGAATTTGGGGGGTCCTCCTGGACTCACATCTTCTGCTTGAAGAGCAGGTGGCAGCTGTAGTCAGGACAGCCTTTGTACACCTTCAGTTGGCGTGCCAGTTGCATCCACACCTGGATCAGGAAGCCTTGCTCCTAGTAACTCATACCCTTGTAATCTCCAGATTTGACTAAAGTAACAGCCTCTACACTGGGGCTGCTCTTCAAGACCATTTAGAAATTTCAACTGGTGCAGAATGCAGTCACACGGGTAATAACTAGTGACAGGTATATGACACATGTAATGCCACTCCTACATGAACTGTAGTGGTTTACCATTATGTTTCCAGATGCAATTCAAGGTACTGATATAAAGCCCTACATGGCTTGGGAACAGGGTGCTTGAGGGATCACCTTTTTCCAAGAGTTTCTACCCATCCAATTAGATCAAATAGGATGGTCATGCTACAGATCCCATCAGACAAAAAATGTTGGGTGACAGGGACTAGAAGACAAACTTTATCTGCAGCAGTTCCTATTCTGTGGAATATTCTCACTCTGGAGATTAGAATGGCCTTGGGGTGCTACATATTGTTCAGGCCAGATATCTTGCTTTATATATTTACTCAGATTAGATGTTTTAATGTTTTAACTTTTTTACTGTTTTTAAGATTTTTAATTGCAATGTGTATTTCTGAATTTGAGCTATCTAGAGTTGTTTGCTGAGATGAGCAGCTACAGAAATCAAATAAATAAAAATAAATAAATAAAATAAGATGACCTATTTTTAAAAAAGACATATTACTTACATAAAGTTGCAGTTTTTATGGTCATTAGTATACTTTTTTTTAGTTTTGCATATTCGGCATCCAGAAATTTCTAAATAGTCTTTGGGTTAACTTTAAATAAGGGTTAGCATATATATTGTCCCATATAATTTTGCTTAGACTTTAGGCTGATTGCTAGTTCTAAAAGAGGATAACAAAGATGTACTGAACAAATTACAGTAAACATAAAATCTGTGCTGGGAGTTCGTGGGAAATCAGAAATTTGCCAGAACCATAAAAGTGGTATCAGATGTCAAGCCAATAATTTTTCATAATCCAAATGGGAAAAGACTAATAAGCGAAGCTAGTGGTTTAAAAACATTAGCTTTTGTTACTATTGTGGAACTTCTGCTTGGCATCAAACCTCGCAAACCAACACAAAAACAATGAAGCGTCATCTTCTTAGTATTCTGTCATACTCCTTTTTAATATGTATACTTTGATCTTTTTCTCCTCTTCATGTCAGGCTGACTGTTTTTTTGGAATTTTTCTCTGCTTGAGATGCAAACTATGGAAGGAGTCTGTTACATATGCTGCAATTTGAAAGATATCTGACATGCAGTTCCAGTACTGATTTGGCACCACTAAAACATTAGAATTAATATATGCATCTAAATCTGCATGTGTTTCATGTAATTATAATAAATTTAGGTTTACTAGGTTATTATATTCATTTATTTAGGATTAAACCTTATATAACTGACTGAGATATCCCTTAATGTTATATTGTATATATTTAATATTTAACCTGGAAATAAGAAGAAATTAACCTGGAAATGAGGAGAAACTTTCTGACAGTGAGAACAATCAACCAATGGAACAGTTTGCCCTTGGAAGTTGTG